GTTTGGAAAGCCGCCCTCCAGACTTGACAGGCCCTGGCCCCAGCCTGCTTAAGCCGCCACATGTGGGTTCCTTTGCCTCAGCTTATAGTCCCCCTTTAAGTATATAGTATTTGTCATATGGGAATCTTCTTATAGTATACCCAAAGCATCCGAAAGCCATATTCTATCTACTTAAGGGGGACTATAGGTTAGGGCTTGGGGTTTAGGGGTTAGGATTTACGGTGTAGGCTTCAGGATTGAAGGCTTCAGCTCAGCTGTGACAAGCTGGGCCGAAAAAGAGGCGAGGGGGTCCCCGTTAAGTAGGGGTTGGCAAGCTGTATCACAGGCTCTTGAAAAGCAACGTTGACTCCGCAGGTTGCTGCTGCAGCACCCTGCACGAGGGATGTAAATGAAGGGGGAAATCTTCTGTGATGTGAGTCCGGGAGCTGCAGGAGGAAGAAGAGATGCAAGGGAAAAGGATTCGACGCCCAGTCAAGAACCTGAAAATCATTGAAAAACTTAGAGATCCTGAGAATGCTTGGCCAAATATGGAAGTTCGGAAGTCGATGATAAAAGTTGGAACGACCAAGCCTCTCCTGGCTGGGACCCTTAGTCCCCCTCATGCCAAACGAAGATGAAAAGATGATCTACGATCTCAAAGTGGGCTCTCCCTAGACCAAAGACAACGGCCCCTGACCTTCAGCCTTACCCGTCCAGCATTTAAGGTCCTTGAAACGAAAAAACCACTTACCATTTGGGAAGGGGTGGCTTCTTGAAAAATGCCCTGACTATTTTCACTATGCTTACCAGCTAGGTAAAATCCACGTGGCCATTGCCGGCATAGACGAAGCCACCTTTCGTCTCTCGCTCCTTCATATGCGCATCTGAAAGAAACACGTTATCCGAAAAACAAATCCTTGCCCTGTTTGACTGCAGGACCTTCGTCTTACTGGCCTTTCGTAGGGAAGGAGGGAGTGCAATTGCCATATATATATATATATATGTATATATGTTATATTCGGGGGTGCACAGGGGCTACTACAGCGATCCACCCCTCCATTCCCACTAACAGCCCTAAACCCTGCCCCCCCTCTAAAACATGGCTGAGTTCAGCGAAATCTTTCTGTTTAGGGTTTAGGGTTTAGGGTTTAAGGGTTTAGGGTTGCATTTGTGACTTGGAGGTTGGTAAGCACGTGAAGATTTGGTTTAGGGTTTTGGGAAGGGGTTGCTGTTAAGGAACGTAGATTAAGTTGCCGCAATATTATAGACAATGAGAATAACAAAAGGATTTGCTTCTTACCTTGCCCAGGACCATCAGAAGACAAGCGGCCTTCACATGTTTCCTTGCAAGGGTGGGGGCCCGCAGGGCCCCTTAGTCTACGGGGGGGGAGGGGTCTGAGGTGATTCTGGAACCCAACTATGTGGCTTATAACAGGGTCGCGCGAGAAAGTTCAAACAGCGAGCTTCAGCCACATCCTCCGATTTAGGGTTTAGGGTTTAGGGTTTATCCTTGCGATTGTTTTGGCGTGAGTCCCTGCCAACATGCCCTACTGACGTGTTCGTAGTGGGAGCCCAATTGCCTCCATGAGTGCGCGACACGAGAAGAAACCCAAACACAGGTCATGGTTTAGGGTTGGGGTATCTTATAAAACCCTATGATATCCTATATATATAACCCCAATATAACCCTATAATAATAAACAGAAAAAGAATATTAATACAGTAATACTAATAATAATTATACCAATAATCATATAACCCCTCTAGGCAAGTCAGAGTCCTGCACTCTTGAGCTTGCTTTTTGATGATTCCTTCTCCCAGCAAAAGCGGCAACCCTTGGCGAGACCCAGTTGTAGACATGATTATAAATCCTAAAACCGTTACCCGAATAGTAGTTTCCATTTTCTTTTCCATTATCCCAATATGACTCCCAATATACTATAGTAGTTTCTATTTGACTTTCCATTATCCCAATCTGACCGGTATAGAAACTCCCACATGTCCTGGCCACACGTCTGAACGGTGGGCGAAAAATTCATCACAGCCTCCGAATACAGCAAACTGTGTAGCATCTGCTTCCACGGCTACATGGCATTCACACGGGATCCTAAACCCTAAACCCTAGTATCTTGAGGAGTTGAAGGCTTTTGGGTGATGGTGGTTTGTTGTCGAATTGCTCCTTGATCTGGTAGTTTCCCAAAATAGGTGGACCCCAATATAGAGCCCAAAACATTATGATCCTCCATGTGGGAACCTCCAAAAGATACCGCCAAGTTTGAGAAACCCCAATCTTCAACTTTCTGAGATGCGTCCGTATGCATGTGCTCCTGCTCAATCCAATGATTTTCTGAATGAAGCTAATGTCGACCCATGATGAATAAACCCCCTTCCTATTAAAGGACTTAATATAGTTATAATCCCTATTCAGGGGAGGGGGTTCATTAATCAGGGGTCTACATATGAAAGACACTGCCGCTAGAGATCTGCAGACTCTTATATAATCTAAACTCCTAGCATCCCCCCTAATAGCCCCTATAGTAGTCCCCTGTATAATCTTGTATGAACCCCCTTTAAGGAGTTTAGACTATGGCTCTTCCACTTTTCAGATGCCGAGCCTAATCCCGAAATCTGCAGCCTTGAGTTTGCAGATTTACTTACTGGTCCTTAGTAGGGAATATGGGGATATAGTATGTAGAGGTTATATCAGGGATGATATCCCCTTATTCCCTACTAAGAATCAGTACGTTTATGATATCTTTTCCTATTCCGCGCCTCACTGTACTGGGAACAGCAGCCCTTACTGACCCAGGATACCTAGAAGTTTCCATTGTCCCAATATAGACCCAATATACTATATAGTAGTTTCCATTTTATTTTCCATTATCCCAATAAAGCCCCAATATACACCCCATAATTCCTATATGAATCCTGTCATGCCGGGCAGGCCTCCGCAGCCACGGCTGCGCGGAAAAGCGCATACAAAGCTGGAGGAATGAATGCTGAGACTGGAGTGCTTGAGGTTGTGTTGGCTCCAAGTGGGGGGGGATCCCTTCGAGGGGTCCGCAAAACAAGGATTCTACTGTCTGCTAAGACTGGGCGGAGGCCCAGCTCTTTAGGACTTTGGCTCCTAAAAACCAAGGATGTCGTAGGATTTCCACCGGCGAAGTGGACAACGCCCAGCTAAGCGTCCAAAGGACTGTGTGGCTACTGGTCATTCGTCTTTCCTTTCTGCATAGGCTTGATTTGAGTCATGCGTGTGTCTTCACTGCTTCAGTCAGCCAGGTCAAAGGCCAGAATGCCTGCCAAGTTTGGGAGTTTTGGTTTCTGCATCCGCAATTTGTCAGGTCTTTGGGACACAGCATTGGGCAAGAGATGGCCGCGGGGCGCCAGCGATGAGAACAGCTGCCGGATGCTGCTGGAAAAGCAGAACTCAAAAAAACAACAAGGCTTGCTGACACTGTGCTGCTGAAAGACGTGACAGCTACAGCTACAAGAGTGGCAACAGTTCCCAGCATTGTCTCAGGCCTGCAGTAGGCGGCACACGCCTGTGTACTGCGCCTGCACAAGCCAAAGCCGCAGTCGAAACATTCGGTTCTGCTTGTTTTGGTATGTACCCTGGGTATAGGCACCGACACCTTCGTGGCAACCAGGCTGGTCGTGACGAAGAACTGGGCTGATTATGATAAGCATGGGATGATATTACCGCAAAACCCATAAGTAGAAACCACTGTTGTCATCATACTGGCAGCATCCACAGAAAGCATCATGCTTTGAAGCCTTGTCATCTGCCAGTCGCCGCTGCGCAGGTGTGCAGCCCTCGCCCGGCAGCGTTGGTCCCTTCTCCCACCTGTTTCTTTTTGGCAAGGGATCCTTGTTGGTATAACATAGCTGCCCAAGCTACATCGGCTGGAGAAGGAACAGGCCAGTCCCATGTCTACACGAGTCTGTTTGGAAGTACAATAGAGGGATATCCGGAGGGCTGAGAAGGTGTGCACGGGCCGCGCTCGGATCACGATGGGATTGTATAGCCAGATGGGGTGAAGCATCTACGACAAACTAACAAGGCAGTTAAGTCGCAAAATAAAACTCATGTAATAGAGGCATAACATGGGACCTGTACTCGCGTAAGAACTTGACTATGCATCAAGGAGCATGCAGATTTGACACACGTTGACCACCTCTTGAATTAGCAAGTCTACTTCGTAACAGGTGCTGGGGAGCTGGTATAGGCAGATGATAGAGGATCCGGGCATCGTAACTCGATTTGCCAAGCCAAAACTTAGCTTGGGCTAGCTAGGCATGAGGGAATGGATCCTTGTAGTACAAGTAGTCCCTATATAACCCATTATTCATAATAGTAGTTTCCATTTTCTTTTCCTTTCCTTCATGCCCATCTAACCAACGGTAAGAAAGGAGCCTCCAAGGAATCATTCCTTAGCGGTTTGGGCGCCCTGCCTTTTCTTAGCTGTCGTTGGCTTGGCTGGCCGACTTAAGGGGCCCGGCTCGGTTTTTACAGAAGATAGACGCTATCAGCTGGGGTTCGGGAATGGAAAAGAAAAAGGTTTGGCACAATGTGTCCAGAAATCATGTCCCTATGCCTTGGCATCCCTTTCAGGAGCCGGCTAGCCTGTGAGGGTGCATTGCTATGCACACGAGTGAATCGCTTTTTTGGGGGATGTTGAGAAGCATGGCACTTTGCCACTTGCTGACATTTAGCAGGCAGAAGGCCTGGACGTTCTACAATAAGATCAGGGCTTGAAGTCTAGCACTTTGTGTTGGGCCTCAGTTAACAAAGTGGCCAGAAGGCTTGTCGCGGTCTACCAGGGTCTGCAAACCCTATGAAAGTCCAAGTTCTCTGACTACATAGTTACCCGTGTGATACAAGGACAGTTGCTTGACTTCCATGAGTTCAAACTCAATCTCCATAAGCTGCTAGGTCTAAAGGTGGCCTGTTAAGAAAGTTAAGAAAAGCTCATACGGAATCTCATCCTTCTTGTCGGAAGGCTATCTAATCTCCATCCCTACTTCAAACCGAGCGGCCATTTCTCCCGGACTGTTTTAGCCTGGCGCCGCTTCAGCTCACCTGAGCCGATTGCTTGGCTACTGCCTCCACCCCATCACGCAGTATGCTATGACACTAGTACAGTTGTATATAAATAGGACCCCCGACTAGAGGATTGTCATGGGGTGGGGCATCCAACAGACCAATTTCAGTGATAAATACTGTTGGCAAAAGGAGATAATCAGGCTTCTCCTGTACTCTTTTAACCCTCAACCCTGAACCTCTAAACCATGTATCCGATCCCAACAACACCCCCTAGACTGGTTGCACGCGAAGCTGCCAAGAAGCTTCTCACTGATACTTGCTACAACTGAAACAGATAGTAGTTTCCATGCTCTTGTCCATCTTCCCTATTTAGCCCCTATGTCATCCTGATATAATCCCCATAATATGTACCCCTAATGAAACAGCGCCTCTTCAAATGTTGCAAAAAACCCTGGGTCTGCTTTTGGGACTGATCCAGAAGATGGTAGCAACAGACCGGCACCTAAAGACTTGGGCCAAGAGTTGGAGGCAAGGTCCTGTGCTTCGAAGGGGTGCCAGGCTGATGTTCCGGCAGTTTTCGCTTTTTCCCTCTTGCTAATGCGGACCCTGGTTGTAGAATTTTTCGACAGGATCCCTTGCTATGCATTCATGTACTTGGCATCAACCGCTCGTGCATAGCCTGAGAAAAAGGCGTGTCCTGGATTAAGCAGGTCGTGCATACTAGGTAATCTTTTTCCTTGCATTCCCAAGATCGCTGACAGAGCAGTGCTCCAGAAAGCTTTCCAAAGATACGCGAGCTTGTCAGAAGGCTTGCGGAACTCTTCGTGCTCAGGGCTCACAAGCGTAGAGTCGCCTGTAACACAGGGCAGCAACCATTCTGGCAGAAGGTTTCTTGGATTGTAGTCGCAAAGAAGGTCCAAATGCTCCTGGCCGCCATTCAGCGGAAGCGATGCGAGCGCAAGGGGCAAGCCCTCTCCCCTCCAAGTTTCCCGGGCAAGCCACAGGCTCAGCAAAACCTCTTCCTGGGTTCCAACACACTCAAAAGGTTTCCTAGCCAGGCTGGTTCCTGAATTTTGCGGGCCCCATGGCTCCACCTCACTCACGCGTGTGGAGATGCCCAGCAGGTTTTGAAAGTTCTGTATCAGCTTTGGGTGCTCAAACAAATTCTTCCCGAAATGCTTGGCGAGCACGCCTGCAGACTCCCATGCTGCCAGCAATCCGAAGACAAAGCAGCACTTATCGCAGTCACAGCACCACTCGTTCAGACCGTCGCTGTCGTTGCAGCTGATAAATATGTCCAGGAAGGAAGCTGAGCGCCGACAGAAAAGCCAAGCAATCTGCACTTCCCAAAGATGTTGTAGGGCTGAGAAGTAGTAGACCCCTGGAGCAACATTCTGCAGCACATATGCATGCATGCGAGACTCAAACTCAAAGCTTTTATCAAACTGGTGGTTGACCTCGAGGGAGCCAACGCGGACACCGTTGCCAAAGTTTGCTGATCTTTCATTGCCAACAGCTACATAGTCATAGCAGCCTAAAAGTGCGACCAGAACTGCATCAAAGCCAACAAGCGCGGCCCACGGATGCCCACATGCGTGCAACCGATGGGATTTGCGCAGCTTTGCCAGCCCTTCATTCTGGAAATCATGTGCCATCACCAGCGCAGGTGAGCCGGACCTCTGAACTGCAGCCTGCAGCCTCCAACTTGATTGGAACTCTTGGAGCCCATCACCGACATATAGCCAGGTGAGGTTTGAAACGCCAGCGTCCCGCAGCATCTGGTGCACCACTAAACTGTCTTTACCCCCACCCAACAGGCAGAGCACCTTGGCATTTGGGAGGCTGGGTGGACTTGCTGTCTGCTTGCACTTTGGCCAGCTTGGAGGGTCCTTCTGTGGGGCATCCACTTCAATCAAAAGGCGTATTTGCTCCTCGGTGAAGCCATTGATGAACGCAAATTCGGCAAAGCAGTTGGCGTAAAACCACTCCCACCAGGCCACCTGGTCTGAATCTAAATAACCAGCGCTGACCACCACCCGCCGATGTCCACAGGCCATCCAATACCAGGCCAGCAACACCATGCCAACGTTCAGCGCTGCAACCTCCAGCTGCTGCTGCCTCTCTGCATCAGACGGAAATCCTTGACCAGCAATCTCGCCAGGCAGAACACATTCGCTGTGAATTTCCGTCTCGTCGCACACAGCATACGTGAATTGTATGCGGGGCCAAAAGATCCGCACTGCCTTGTAGCGCAGGAAAGGCTCAGGCCTCACTTGCTCTTGATTCCCTTCTGTATCTGACTCCTGCTGATCGCCTTCTTCGCTAGATGAGGGGGGCAAGTCAAAGCCATCTAAGTAGGAGTTTGCCATTGACTAGCAAAGTTTCTGCTGCTAGTAGGATATTGCTTGAGCCATGCTGGCAGCGTCAATCATGTCTAGCAAGCTCTTTTCCCCACACCTGCCTGACAGGAATCCCTCTTGATGGTGAAAGGAGGGATCATGTCCAAGGAAGCTCGCCTCGCACATCCCCAACCCGCAAACGTTCTGAGGAGGTTACCCCCAAATACAACTTGGGGCGGCCAAGTTGTGGATGGTGCTTCGCACCAGGTTGAGTAGAGCTTCACACAGTTTTTGCACTCGCAACTTTGATGGCTAGAGACTACGTAGTAACAGGATTGTCTACGGGCTGTGCTCAGCACCTATGCCGGGAAGCACAAGGAACAAGCGCGAGAAGACCCATGCTCTTGCCAGGGGGCTAAGAGTTGGCATTGCCAGGCGCCAAGGCAGCGGACTTCGCAGCCAAAAAATGCGAGCTACGTCTTCTAATTAGATTTGGATGCCTCTGGAAATTATGAGTCTCTTGCTTAGCGTGGAATCAGGTGCCTGTGCGAAGACGATGCTATTCTGCCTGGGTCTGTCAGAAAATGTCGGAAGCGCGCTTTCTTGAATGATGCCATGTGATTCAGTCGCTTTCCCCGCATGTCCTGTGCCGCCATGACGCAAAGGCACTGACATATTCAGCACGACTGCATGCAAATGCTCTTTGCAACTAAGACTGTGCTAAACCGAGAAGAGACAAGAAAGTGAAGCTGTCGTCTGCTCTGAATTTGATTTACGAGTTAAATCCAAAGCCCACAGCACAAACGCCCTGTGGCTTGCCTCCCTAAAGTTCCTGTAGACGAAATCGCAACTTGGATATGAGCTATGGTCTAAGCTCCTAGTATTCCCCTCAATCACCCCTATAGTAGTCCCCTATACAACCCCTTTAAGGAGACTATATATAGCTCATATGGGTACAGGTGGCTGGAAACAATCCGCTGGTCGCAAATCTTGCTCTTGCTGCCAACTTGCTGGCATTTTCTTGGTTTGGGACTTAGGATTTAGGGTTTAGGTTGGTAATTTCCATAAGTCGGGTGGCCTCAGTATAGACCCCCAAACGCTATAATCCTTATGATGAAAAACCGTGCGTGTTAGAAGATGATATTCTTACTAGGGCTTAGGGTTAGTACGGACTAAGAGAATATATTAAACAAGGCATATATTCCCTTATTCCCGACTAACGACCAGTAATTGCTGGGGGTCTTTCCTTGCTTGAAGAGTGGTCGCACGAACTGATACACTCTGGACTTTTTTTAACATGATACAGGCGACATCTGCGAGCGATGTATGTGCATCACTTGCTGGCGTCATCTGCTTCCTTGCCACAAGCTTGCCATAGGCGGTAGCTTAATAAGATGTTGGTTGCCAAAACCCCTCTAATAAGGACACTTTGGGGTTTAGGGTCAGGGTTCAGGGTTCAAGGTTCAGGGTTCGGGGTTTAGCTTTGCCTGCAATCAATCTCTGACGCCTGCAACCTAATAACTACGTCATGCACGCCATGCCTTCTGCGGTCTGCAAACATCGCCAATTGTCTGCCACAAGGCATTTACTTGTTAGAACTAATAAAAACTGTACTAGTCAGTTCCAGCGTTACTTTCTACATGAACACCTGCCATGCCTCAAGCATGTACATGGCCCACACATAGAAAGACCGCTTGTGCAGAAGGCCGGCCCGGTCACTTTGGTCCCGGGACTAGAGATAAACAACCGCTGGCTGGGTGGCCACAGGAAGGTTGAGGTTTCGCGCTTAGGGTTTAGGGTTTGGGGTCTAAAAAGTTTAAGGATTAGGTTGTGGGGTTAGGGTTTTCGGGTTTAGGGTGAACCTGTGTTTAAGGTTGAATGCTCAAGGTTCACCATTACCTTCTCGCACTCTGCAGCGGTGTTCCTTTGACAGTAACTTACCTGACACTGCGATCACAAGGTTCTAGTAGAATCTTACTCATGATGCACAACAAAAAGAAAGGGTTGCCCAACGGACCGATTCCCCTTTGTAAGTGCAATCCACGGAGAAGGTCTTGTAAGACCTGTTTGGGGGCCAGGGGACATTTGTCTCAATGCCTCCCGGTGCAAGTCTTGATTCCATGGGGCCGTTTCAAAGCTTCTAGCAGGCAGGCATAAGGCAGTAGCTTGAATACACTTTCCTAGTATGTGCGCAAGGAAGATGGAAACTGCTGCACCTCATGCCCTCCCAGACCCCTGGGAGGATC